GTAGTTAGTAGTAGTTAGTAGTAGTAGTAGTAGTAGTAGTAGTAGTAGTAGTAGTAGTAGTAGTAGTAGTAGTAGTAGTAGTAGTAGTAGTAGTAGTAGTAGTAGTAGTAGTAGTAGTAGTAGTAGTAGTAGTAGTAGTAGTAGTAGTAGTCGTAGTCGTAGTCGTAGTCGTAGTCGTAGTCGTAGTCGTAGTCGTAGTCGTAGTCGTAGTCGTAGTCGTAGTCGTAGTCGTAGTCGTAGTCGTAGTCGTAGTAGTAGTAGTAGTAGTAGTAGTAGTAGTAGTAGTAGTAGTAGTAGTAGTAGTAGTAGTAGTAGTAGTAGTAGCAGTCGTAGTTCGGAGAGCCCAAGAGGCTCTTCCGAGAGCCCAAGAAGCGCTTCGGATGCCCCAAGAGGCTCTTCGGAGGCCCCACGGGGCTCTTCGGAGAGCCCAAGAGGCTCTTAGGCGGCTGCAAGAAGGTCTTCGGCGGCTCCAAGAGGCTCTTCGGAGAGCACCAGAAGCTCTTCCGAGAGGCTCTTCGGTGAAGGGGGGGGGGGCGGAGCCTTTTTGGACCTCCCCCCCCCTTCACCGTACTCGATAATTAATACACTCCGGAGGACCCCTGGCCATACTAACACCCACCGGGCCGCAGTAACAACCAACGGGCCGCGGTAACACCTTATTCCCCCGGCCGGACCCCCCCCCCCCCCGGGACCCCCCCGGGACCCCCCAAGGGGTCGACCGCCCCCGGGACCCCCCCCCCCCGGGGAAGGGATCAAAGGGAAGGGGCTTCCCTTCGACTCGATTACGACACTCCTCGATCTTTCTCCCGCTCACGAGCTTGAGAAGGAAGCTGCAGGGAAAGGGGGCGACGGAGGCGACGACCGACGGAGACGACGACTCGAACAGCCGAGCCCCTCGCACACGCCGACAGGGCAGGTGTTTTTTTTGGTTTCCCCAGATCCTGAGGATGCGTGTCTTGTGCACCGTCCGAGTGCGCGGGTCCGCGGGCGCGCGGGCGGAGAGAGCTGCCACTGGGCACGCGGGCGGCCGGACTCCGCGCGAGCGCGGCCCTTCCAGTGGAGGGTTCTAAAACAGGGCTAGGTCCCTAAGGGTTTGTCGACTTTTCGCCGATCGACTTGTGGGGAGCGAGCCAGAAAAACCCAGGTAAATGCAGATAAATCGAGGTAAATCCAGATAAATCCAGGCAAATCGAAACAAATCCGGGTAAATCCAAAGATCTCCGAGGAAAGGTGAAGCAACTCGCGGCCGCTCCAGCGCGAGTCGAAGGACGGCAGAAGTCGTTAAGCCTTTAACGACTAGGATCGGGATACATCGCTCCAGAGCATGCCAGAGCGCTCTCAGAGCGTGCCGGAACGCTGTGGAGCGGCCGCGGCGCCCAATGCATCCTCCAAGCCCGCCGATTCTCAGAGATCTCGAGTTATCCCGATCCGATTTTTCAGTCCTTAAGGATTTGGAGGCGTTGGCGTTGATGTCAACCGATCCGATGTTGTCCCGATCTTCGCGTCGCTTCAGGTTCGGAGTGGCCTTCGCGGGGCGGGTGGCTTGCAGCCTGCAGCCCGCCGGAGGTCGGGCTCGTGCGGCCGGGGCCCGGGCGAGGCCAAGAATCCGGTCCCGAGCGTGCCAGTCCTCCTCCTCCTCCTCCTCCTCCTCCTCCTCCTCCTCCTACTCCTCCTCCTCCTCCTCCTCCTCCTCCTCCTCCTCGGACGTGTGCATTTCGGGGGTGGACGGACCTCCTAACAGTGACACGTCGATTAGTGAATTGTCCGTTTTCGGTTCTCGAGAGGGCGCCGCGGCCGTTATTTTCCAGGCCTGCGCCCGCCAGGTTGGGGCCCGAGGTCGTTTTCACTAAACCACGTTTTACTGAAGGGAGGTCTGTCCATCCCCGATCCTCGAGTTTTGCCAGTTTGAGACGTATCCCTATCCCTATGTTTGGCATCACCTCACCTCGATGCCGGTCTCAGGGATTCCCTCAGTTTCTGAGGGCCTATCCCCAAGATTTCCTCGCTGTTTGCTCGCCCATCTCAGGGATAGGGATACGTTCGAGGCTGGTTAGAGTTGTTCGGAGGATGCGTGAGGGGGGGGGGGGGCGATAAATGGGTGGGCAACATGGGCTGCCGACACGGGGCCCTGCAGGACCCCCCGAAGGGGTCCCCTTCAGGGCCCAGGAGGGGGCTTCTACGGCCCGAGAAATGCACCTCTCTTCACCCCCCATTTGTCGCCACCCCTGGATTCGCGCCCAATTTGTCCTCACCCGATGTCATCCTCGCTGGATTGGACGCCGGCCTGGCGCCGGGCGCCGGGACGCCCGCGGGAGCGATGGACAGACGACTTCATCTCCGACTTACAGTTAACAAGTTGGGATGTGTGAGAATCGGTGAGCCTGCTTGCGGCAGCCCGTGCACGGCGCGCGGGTCTTCTCTGCAGATGTAGGGCTGGCGCCTTGTGAGAGGCAGACTGCTTCTAAGAAGCCGTCCCCCCTCCCCCTGCTAGAGCTCCTCTGTGCGCGCCGCCGACAGCTGGTCGAGCTGCGCGCGCAGGCCCCAGCACGTGCGAGGCTTCGCCAGCCAGTGCTGGCGTTGGACGAGCCGGCAACGAGGGGCTGGTCTCCAGCCACCGCCCGGGTCGCCGCAGCTGCTGCCCGTGGCCGCTTCGAGGAGGGCTTCGGGCAGGCCTTTGCGGATCACCGTTCGACGAGGCTTGGCAGCAGCTCAGCGGGGCGATGCGGGCTTGGTTCGCTTGGCGCATGGGCCTCACGGCCACCCCAGCATGCGTGGCTGTCGAGGGAGTGGCCGATCGCCGTTTCGCCAGCAATGGCTTCGCAGCTGTCAGGGCCGGTGCGTCCCCCGAGGATCGGGCCCACGCCAACTTGTGGGAGTAGATCGTTTCTCGCTGCTGCAACGGCGCATTGGCCGCACGATGGGCCAAGGGGCACATAAAACGACGCGAAGATCGGGACAACATCGGATCGGGATAACTCGAAATCTCTGAGAATCGGCGGGTTTGGAGGATGTATTGGGCGCCGCGGCCGCTCAGAGCGTTCCGGAACGCTCTGAGAGCGCTCCGGAACGCTCTGGAGCGATTTGTCCCGATCCTAGCCCTGTCTTAGCACACCCGACGCCGCGGAGGCCCAGGATCGCGGCGTGTCCTTCGAGGGCCGGTCCGGCAACGCCGCGGCGGACCGCCTCGCGGGGGCGGCGGCCGGGGCTCGGTTGCCCCCCCCCCGCGCTGCGCGAGGCGTGCGGGCGGCCGCTGGAGCCCCTTCGAACGGGCGGCCGCCGCGGCGAGGGCCTCGCTCGCGGGCGGCGCGCGGCAGGGCCCGCGTGCGCCTCCCTTGAAACCCGAGGGCCCGGCCGTGCGCGGCCCGCGTGGCCGGCGGGTGTCTTGGGCCTCGCGCCGGGGGGGAGCCTCGCGCCCCGTCCGTGCAGCGGACGGGCGCCGCGCCTGCCGCCTCCGCGGGCGCTCGAGGGGGCCGCGAAGCGGCGTGGCGGGCGGCTGCTGGATGAGTGCCCTCTGATAGTTCACTGGTTGTCTGCCGCTGTCCCGCGCGGTCGCCAGGCGCGCTGTCTTTTTTGGTTCCTCCTCCTCCTCCTCGTCCTCCTCCTCCTCCTCCTCGTCTTCGTCCTCCTCCTCCTCCTCATCATCCTCGTCCTTCTTTTCCTCCTCGTCCTTGTTTTCCTCCTCGTCCTCCTTTTCCTGCTCCTCCTCCTCCTCGTGCTCCTTCTCCTCCTCGTCCTCCTCCTCATCCTCCTCCTCCAGCTACTCCGCGCTTTGTTACCCGTTCTCGCCGCTGGGCCTCTTGTGGATGGCTCGGGGAGAGAAAACGCTTGCTGCTGCCTCCGAAGAACAAGCAATGGCATACAAATAATTGTCCTGGGCTCCGCCCGGATTTCTTGGATCGGCGCGTGGCTCCCCTGGCAGCGCCTCTGGCGCCGCCTTTGGCGCACTCTGCGCGCCAGGGAGAGGGGTCCAACGCCGATCCGAGAACCCTGCGCGGATCTCCAGAAGTTTCTGCTTTTGCAATTTCTGCTTTTGTGTGACATCCTCGGGCCCGCGGTCCCGTGGAGGGCTCCGGGGGCTTGCCAGGCGGCGAACATGGCCAGAACGCGTGCGTTTTTTGCACGAGCCTTGTGTGTTGATGCTGGCGAAGACTAGTGGGAATGAAGGAGGGATGATTCCTCCCCATCCTTCCTGCTTCTTCCCCTCTGCCTCTCAGAGAGACGAAGTTTAGGTCGGGCACGTCCCTCTACAGGAGGAGTATCCAATAGTCAGACAAGAATGAGAGGACCATTTTTCGTACAATGATTGAGTATTTGGGATTTGTCTTCAAAATCCTCCTGTAGGGGGACATGCCCGACCTAAAACAAAACAACAGTGGCCACCCCTTCCGTTGCCCCCCAGACGGCCGAGCAGCAGAAGCAGATTGTGGTAAGGTGTTATGGCCTGCTTGCGTGCGACCCGATTGGGTTATCGAGTTGGGGGGCCAGGCAGCACGACTGAACGTCAGCCCCGACAGAATTTGGTCTTCGTGCAAAGACGAAGCCTCAGACTGGTCACCGCGACTCGTCTGATCTGGTGTCACCGTCCTTGCGACCACGAGCCATTGTTTTCCTCCTCTCCTCCGTCCTCTGTTCTCCCCCTTCCTTTCTGCACTTCCCTTCCGCCTACCGCTCGTCTGGCGGAGAGACATAATGCACGACTTGCCGCTCTCCTTTGGCTGGTACGGGGTCTTTGAGCTGCCTCTCGTTCCTCCCGGCGCTGGTCAAGACAGTCCGTCATTGAGATGGCGTCCGCTCTACACCTTAGGCGATGCTTTAAGAAAACCTAAGTTTTCGTCCAGAGTCTCGATTATTCTTAACTTTTCAATGTGAATCCCAAGATGTTGATAGAAGTTCTGGGTTTTATTCAATTTCTGAGATTATGAATTTCTTAACCCATGATTTCTTAAGCATTTCGCAGGGTGTACACCCTCCCCACGTGCCACTGAACCCCCGATCCCGAGGCCGACGCCACGAAGTTCACGGAGACCGGCTACGTGGGCCGGGACTCCGAAGACCTCATGCGCGACCTCCTCACCGCCGCCGACGGGGACGTGGAGCTCGCTCAGGTGCCGGGGAGGGGAGGCCGATGGGAAATGTCAGCAGGTTGGCAGGGCTCGTTTCGATTGCTCCGATTCGATTCGATTCGATTTCGATGGTTTCCGATTCCGATTCGATTCGACTTCGGATTCCAATTTGGGCTCCGATTTCTTATTGGAGGCACACTAGCCTGCCGATTTCCGCCGATTCGACTTCTCCCGACTCGGCTGCCGATTTCCGCCGATCCGACTCATTTCGATCGCCGATCCGACTTGTCGATTCGACTTTTGGGGCGCCGGGGTTGGGTTTTGCCAAGGTGCCCCTGCCCCAAGGTGTCCCCAGAATTCCCGAGGAAGCCCAGGGCGCCTTCGGAGCACCTCTCACGAGGCCCAGGGGACCCCAGGGCCCCCACAGCGTGGCGAAAAGCTGGGGACAACTGGGATTGGAACCTTTTTTAGCAGTTGCAGCAGTATCATGGCGAGTATTGGGAGCCTCTGTCTGGCCCACGAGACCTCCCTGCCCAGAATCTGAAAGACTCCGAGTGATGGCGGAGTCAGAAATCGAGGTAGGAAAAGTCACCCCGATACCCATGGCTGGCGTTCACCAAACGACCCCATGACCCTGGTTGTCTACTAATTCACCAGCCCTGCCCTGTCCGATTCCTTCCCGGATTGCGTCCTCTGAACGGTTTCGTTTGCTGGGGTTGCTTATCTCAAATCTCAAGCAGTGGCGAAGCGTCCTGGCTCGCCTATAGACCCACCAAACAATGTTCTAAGAACCTTTCGTGGCCCGCACAAAAAAAATCGTAAAACATGTCTGATTGGGACTGTCTTGTTTTAACACATCGGGTTTATGCTCTAAGAACCTTGTTTTCGTTCTTAGAACATTTCTGGGTTCTAAGAACATTTTGTGGCAGGTCTGTGGGAATGCCGGGACGGCCAGCCCCTGCTCAAAAAGTTGGTTTGCTTCTGCCCGCGCCGAATTCCCCCCCCCCCCCATCCATCGGCGACGCTGAGGTCGGCATCGTGTACGTAGATGAGATCGACAAGATGAGCGCAGAGGGCGGCGGCGGTGTGTCCACGCGCGGGCCTTGGGAGACGACGGCTCGAAAGGGGGAGGGGGCGGAGGAGGAGGAGGAGGAGGAGGAGCAGCAGCAGCAGCAGGGCGGAGGAGGAGGAGGAGGAGGAGGAGGAGGAGGAGGAGGAGGAGGGAGGAAGGAGGAAGGAGGAAGGAGGAAGGAGGAAGGAGTAGGAGGGAGGGAGGAGGAGGAGGAGCAGGACGAGGAGGACGAGGAAGAGGAGGTGGAGGAGGAGGTGGAGGAGGGAGGATTGCTCCTCCTCTCGGGCCCTCGCCTCCGCTGCCTCCTGTCCTCCCTCCTAATCCTCCCCAGACCTTGTCCTCGAGGACCAAGAAATAGCACCAGGACCTCGACATGGCATCTAAAATCCAGTCGAGGTCTTAAGCAGTCCGGATTCCCAGATCCCAGTCTACGTTGAGCGTATTGCTACTTCAGTGATCGAGCGGCTCCCCTCTTCCCTCGTCTTCATGGGTCGGGCGGAGACCTATCTACGTTCACCGCCTTCCTACGTCATTTCCACCCACTTCTTCCGACCGACGGTTGTATGCCTGGAGGGCTCTTTTTCTAGCACTCCGGCTCCGGCTCCTCCCCCCTGCCTCCCCGCTCTCCCCCCCTGCCTCCTCTCCTCCACCCCCCCCACCTCTCTAGCACTCGTCCCCCCCCCCCTCCCTGCCCCCCACCCCCTCCCCCTCCCCATCCTGTATGGCTCCCCCCCCTCCCCCTCCCCCTCCCAATCCTGTGCGGCTTCCCCGCCTCCCTGGCCCTGCCCCCTCCGCTCCGCGGAGCGGCCTGCGCCGCCGGCCCCTCGCCCCCTCCCGCCCCCCCGCCGCCTCCCCCCCCCTGCGGCACGCGAGGTTCCGGCGGGGCACGCAGAGCACCTTCCTGAAGCTCCTGGAGGACACGGAGGTCGCCATCAGGACGCTCGTTTGCATGGGCGGGGGACCGGGAGGGTTCGAAAGCGCAGAGGAGGAGGAGGCGGAGGAGGAGGAGGAGGAGGAGGAGGAGGAGGAGAAGGAGGAGAAGGCGGAGGAGGAGGAGGAGGAGGAGGAGGAGGCGGAGGAGGAGGAGATTGCTGCATCCTTCTTGTCTTCCTGCTCCTGCATGAGATTTGCCTTCACAATCGCTTGCTGCCCTGCCGGACTTGTCTGGCTGTCACGCTCGTTGGTAAGTATGATGTATGTTTCTCTTTTGCGCGCGAGCAGGCGCTGCGACATTTGAGATCCGAGTCCGGGTATAACTAAAAGGAGGAGGAGGATGAGGAAGAGGAGGAGGAGGAAGAGGCGGAGGAGGGCCATGGTATGCCCATCTTGCGATTTCTAAGACCCGAGTCCTGGTAATCAAGAGGAGGAGGAGGAGGAGGAGGAGGAGGGCCATGGCGACCACATTTTGCGATCCACGGCGCGTGCAGAGGTCCCTGTGCCGATCCCCCGGCGTCCCCCTCACGCAGCTTCGTCACAGGTGCGGGCTGCGCTGAGGCGTGGTGGCCGATCATCGGACCTGGCAGCGACGCTTCCTGCTTCCATCCCCTCTTCTCCACCTTCTGTCTCATTCACCCTCCTCCTGCCCCTCACCCTTGCCTCCACACCATCTCTCATCGTCTCCCTCTTTCCTCCACCCTCCAACCCATCCTCTGCTCATCCCCTCATCCTCCTGCTCCTGTTCGCTACCTGCTCCACCCCGACTCTCCCCCACCGTCCCGGTGTTCCTCCTGTTTGTCCTCCTTCCGTTCCGCCTTACTCCTCTACGCTTCGCGTCATGTCCCCTCCTTCCTCTGACACGAAGGAAGGCCAGAAACAGGAGGAAAGAAGGAAATGGAAGGTAAGAAGAAGGATACGGAAAGAACAGAGAAAGGCCAAAACCAACGCGGGAGGCAACAGACAAAAACAAGGAGGGAGAGGAAAAGGCAGGGAGACAAGACGAAGCCAATAACGCAGCCCTCCTGCTCACTGGCGTGAGGCGGTTTGTTTTTCTGCTTGACAGTCGGGTGCTGTGCCTTGGTGTGTCGCATCATGCTCGCAGGGGTACTTACCAATTCCGCACTCTTCCGCTCGCGCGTCCTGACCGGAAACCCTGCTCAGCGGCGACAGTGGTGCACCAGCGCCGTGCCAGAGGCTGGCGCATGTCTTCTGTACTGTACAGCTCTCCTGCTCTTCTAAAGTTACACAGTATGAATACTACTTTCCTCTCTCCCCTGGTGGCGTCCGGGGAATGTCCGGCGCCCCTCCGCGTATCTGTTTATACACAGGGTTCCCAGGAGTCGGGTTTTCGCTTGTTTTTTTTCAAAACGCTGCTCACGTTGAAGCGCTGGCTTCATTTTTGGGCTGCCGCTCGTTTCGAATCGTACGTGCTCCCGCTGCAGCGCTGGCCTCATTTCCACGCGTCCGCTCGTTCCGAATCGTGTTCCCGCTGCACCGTTGGCGTCATTATTTCGAGCGCCATGCCACGGCATGGTTTTCGGTCCCTCCAGTAGGCCCGAAAATATAGAAAATGCTCCCCGAATAAATCATCGGAAATGATTCCACACGGTGTCGATTCGTAGATTTTTTTGGCCGCGGAAGTTCCCCCCACTTTGGGGCGTCGCCATGTCATGCTATGTCAGGCTGCGCGTCCTCACTTCTGCGTTTCCGCGCTGATTTGTTTTCTTTGTTTCTCATAAGTTTGCTCTCGCTGGAGCGCTGTCCTCATTTTCGGGCTGCCACTCGTTCCGAATCGAGCTCCCGCTGCACAGCTGGCCTCATTTCCGCGCTTCCGCTCGTTCCGAATCGTGCTTCCGCTGCAGCGTTGGCGTTACTATTTCGAGCGCCATGCCACGGCATGATTTTCGGTTTCCAAATAGGCCCCACAATCTAAAAAATGGCCTCCTGGAGGAACCATCGGAAATGATTACACATTCGGTGCCGATTGGTTGATTTTTTGGGCTGCAGAAGCCCCCCCTTCTGCACTTGGTTTTCTGTTTCAAGTGCTGCTCTCGCTAAAGCGCTGGCCTCATTTTCGGGCGACCGCTCGTTCCGAATCGCGCTCCCGCTGCAGCGCTGGTCTCATTTCCGCGCTTCCGCTCGTTCCGAATCGTGCTCCCGCTGTAGCGTTGGCGTCATGATTTTGAGTGTCATGCCACGGCATGGTTTTCGGTTCTTTCCGACAGGCCCCCTCGTTCAGAAAATGGCCTCCCAAATAATCGATTCGTTGATTTTTGGGCCGCACAAGCCCCCCCTGGGGCGTCGCCACGCCATGCTAATTTTGTCATGCTACGCGTTGATCTTCGACACCATGTCATGCTATGCCATGCTGCGACATCCGACTGTGCGAATAGAGCGGAGATCTACGCCATTGTAAAAGGGATGGGAGGGAGGGCTAGGACGTCACATCTGATTCAGGAGGAGGAAAAACACACAGACACAATTCATCGTCGAGACCCAGGAAAATATACAAAAATATGGGAAGTGGGGGGGAAGACGAAAACCCAGAAAATATGCGAAAATATGGGGAATCCTTTTATTTGTGTGTATTTATGTGTGTGTCCTGGGGTTCCTTCACTGATGCGAGCGCACCCAGCTTGTCCTCCCCCCCCCCCTGTCGAGGCAGCGCCCCAGGGCGTGGAGCCACCAGAGCCCGCAGGAGGCAGACGCGAAAACACGATCCGGCCGCCAGCCGCGGGCCGCCGCAGCTCCCGCAGCTCATGATGGAGACCGGCAGCACCACGGTCGCGCCGCGGGGCGGGGCCTCTCCTCCTCCTCCTCCTCCTCCTCCTCCTCCTCCTCCTCCTCCTCCTCCTCCTCCTCCTCCTCCTCCTCCTCCTCCTCCTCCTCCTCCTCCTCTCCTCCTCCCTCCTCCTCCCTCCCCCTCCCCCTCCCTCCCCCTCCCCCTCCACCTCTCCCTCTTCCTCCTCCTCCTCCTCCTCCTCTTCCTCCGAGGAGGAGGAGGAGGCGGGGGGGCGGCCGCGCGGCAGGCCTCGTGCCGGCCGCAGACTGGGAAGCCGTGGCCCTTCAGCCAGAGTGCAGTGGAGGCCCATGCCAGGAAGCACCTGGCGTGCCTCCAGGGTGCCCTGGGTTTCTCGGGTTTCGACGGTTCTTTCCATGGGAAGAGTGATTTGCCCACGCCGAGAATCCATGGAAGTCCCGGGGTCTCAGGATTGGGTTTCTTGTGGAAGGTTTCTTGTGGTCGAGCTCCTGTTGTGGATTAGGACGTCGTCGTCCCTCATTTACAGGAGGAACCGAGGGAGGTCTTTCAGTTATTCCCCCCCGCCCCTTTCGTTTCTCTCGGCGGGGAAGGAGCGCACCCCTCCTGCTCCTCCTGCTCCTCCTCCTGCTCCCCCTCCTGTCTCTCTCCCGCTCCTCTCTCGCCTCCTCCTCCTCTTCCTCGTCCTCCTCCTCCTGCTCCTCCTGCTCCTGCTGCTCCTCCTCCTCCTCGTCCTGCTCCTCCTCCTCCTGCTCCTGCGCCTGCTCCTCCTCCTTTTCCTCCTGCTCCTCTTCCTGTTCTTCCTCCTCTTCCTGCTCCTCCTCTTCCTCGTCCTCCTCCTCCTCCTCTTCCTCGTAAGTGTCGTTGTTGTGCGGCGGGTGCTGCGGAGAAGTAATTGTTGTTCCATTACTGGTGGGACCCAAGCCCGTCAATAAGGTCGCTGAAAAGAGAAGTAGTTTCCGATTGTTTTTGCGGGAGGTGTCTAATTTCCTACTGCGGTCAAGAGGTCATGATAGTGATACGTTCCAAGATTGGTCCAAGGTTTTCAGGATTCCCCATGGTTTCTCATGTTCCGCACCGGCTGAGCCGCTAGGTACTTTCGGACAGTCTTATCCTGATCTCATTCTCGCCCATCTGCAATTCGTCGCAGGTGGAGGCCATTGGCAGCGTTCGGCGGCAAGCCCAGGGGGGAGTGCAAAGGGGGCGGGCCTTCTCAGAAGTCACGTGAGCCTTCTCCCGACGACAGGGGCGGCTTCTCAGAAGGCCAGAGAGGGCTTCTGAGAAGCCCCGCGGCCTTCGTTGAAGGCCTGCGCCCTTGGACTTTCACCCTCGGCGAGCCGCCGAGTTTGTGGTCCTCTGTCAGGAGGGAAAAAACACACACAGACACAATTAATCGTCCATCCCCCAGAAAATATGGGAAAATATGGGGATTGGGCGGGAAGACCAAAACCCAGAAAATATGGGACAATATGGGGAATTCTTTTACTTGTGTGTATTTCTTTGTGTGTCATGGGGCCCCTTGCGTGAAGGCCTGCGCCCTTGGACTCTCACCCTCGGCGAGCCGCCGAGTTCGTGGCCCTCTGCCCGCAGCTCGGGCCCGCGCCCCGAGCGCAGCGGCGGCGGCCAACGGGGGCCGCGCCTCTGGCGGCTGCCTCGCCGGGTAGATGCCGGCGCCCCTTCGATCGGGGGAGCGTAAGACCCGGGTTTGCCAGGACTCGGGTTCGCCATCGTTTTTTGACGGCCGCGCCTCGGATTTTGACGAGGAGGAGTTTCGTGGGATGTCTGCAGCGGGAGGCCTCGTCGAAATGCAGGCTCGGCCTCGTCATTTTTTTGACGACCTCGTCGGGGATTTCCGAGTTCCTGGTACCCAGGTCTTACGTCTTGTACCCAGGTCTTACGTCCGCCAGGGCGCCGCGCGCGCAGACGTGCCCACTGGCCAAGCAGTGGCGAAGTGTCCTGGCGTGCCTATAGATCGGGGATGGACAGACCTCCCTTTAGCGGGCGCAAGACTGGAGAGTAACGGCCACGGCGCCCTCTCGAAAACCGAAAAGGACATTTCACTAATCGACGCGTCACTGTTGGGGGTTCTGTCCACCCCCGAATAGAGGCCTACCAAACAATGTTCTAGGAACCGTTTGTTGTTTCCACAAAATGTTCTTGGAACATTTCTGGGCTGCACTGTCTCGGTTTAGCACATCGGGTTCACGTTCCAAGAACACTGTTTTTGTTCTTAGAACACGTCTGCGTTCTAAGAACATGTCGTATTAGGCCGATAGGAATGCCGGGACGGTCGGTCCTGCCTGCTCCGTACCAAGCCAGGGTGGCCCCAACCAGTTTCCAGTCAGCGGGCGCAAGGGGTGCGGGAGCGGTCGGGCGCCGGTCGAGCCAGAGGCGGGGTGCGCCGAAGCAGACGAGGGCACAGAGTGAAGAGGAAGAGGCAGAGCGAAGGCAGAGACAGAGCCGCGCAGATCGAGCAGACCTGCGCGGGGCGCCGCCGAGAGGACGCGCGGGCTGGGTTCTAAGCAGCGGGTGCCTCCTCCTCCTCCTCCTCCTCCTCCTCCTCCTCCTCCTGGTACTCCTCCCCCTCCCCTCCTCCTCCTCCTCCTCCTCTTCCTGGTCATCCTCCTCCTCCTGGTCGTCCTCCTCCTCCTGCTCGTCCTCCTCCTCCTCCTGCTCGTCCTTCTTCTCCTGCTCCTCCTGCTCCAGGAGTGGCCCCGAACAGGGGAGGCAAGGCGAGGAGGCCAGGTCAGACGTGCTTTAGCACCGTCCCGTGCGAGTTCCGCTCCGTGCAAGTTCCGCCCTGTGCGAGTTCCGTCCCAGGGCTGCACCTAAACGGTGTTTTGGCGATTTCGTGGGCCGTTTTCGTTTCGACTTCGTTTTGCGATAGAGGTGGGGTGGATTCGAGACAGAAGCGAGGGAAAACGAACACAAAACAAAAACGAAAAACACCATGAAGTTCCGCCCTGTTCCGTCCGTGCGAGTTCCGCTCCGTGCGAGCCCCGCGCGTTGCCTCCGTGCCTGTCTGTGGCTCCTCGAGTCGCCCTCTGGCGCCTCTAGAGCCCGCACGGAGCCGTGAGGGCCCCGGGGGCCCGAGGCGCGAGGCAGAACAGCGCCACCCACCAAACGACCCCAACCCAACCCGAAGGCTTCAGTTTTCCCTCCACTTCCAGTGGCGGGGGGGGTCGGGGAACAGTGAAAAAGCACAGGGAAGCCGTACCCCCCCCCAACCCGAAATTCGGGTCAAACTCGGGTCTTCGGGTTGGGTTGGGGTGGTCTGGTAGGTAGGAATAACAGCGCCCAGCAGTGCATACAAAAGACGCAGCGACGGTAGGGCTGGCGGCAGGGTAAAGCCTTACGGGCACGTCTCAACATGGTCGTACGAACGGGTTCAGCCATCGTCGGAGAACAGTTTCTAGATGAGGGCATCGCAAGTAATGGCAAATGGAATCAAGGTCATTCATTGCCTCCGAGGCGCATCCACACCAACATCCCATAGGTTGAAAGTGACAACGCTCCGAGGTACGAAAAGAGCCAGTCGTCATTCGCAGGGGCGCGCGCCCCACGTACATCGAGGTAACCTCGCACACGGACTTACTCGACTTGCACATGCTGTCAATATGGCGAGGGCTGGCGGCTGGGTAAAGCTTACGGGCACGTCACAACATTGTAGTACGAACGCGTTCAGAAACTTGAATGGCACGGAACTCAAGTTTCAGTTTCGGCTGGAGCCTCGGGGTAGAAGCTCGGAGTTCAGTAGGGATCCCAAGAAACCACCGCCGGATTTTCCTCGCGAAGCCCAAGAAAGAGTCACCATTCCACCCAGAGAGCCACCGATAGGGAATGTGCTCAAGGTCATCCCTCGCCTCCTCCAGATAGTCCAAGACGCCAAGCATAAAACCAGAACGCAAACGATGACGGATATGTCTGGCCCAAGAAATTCGGCAGCTCGGTGTAGGTGTCACCCAGAGTGCGATTGCATTCCGTGTGATGTGCCTCTCGAAGTTGTTATTTCGTTTGCAGTTACATCCACCGAGTGCGCATCTTGTGCATCAGCACCGTGAGAGCGTCATGCGACTGACCTCGTGGCCGCGGAATGCGATGCCATTCAGTTTTGCCACAACACTTAAAGATCTCGGGTTTAGTATTGAGTTCGTTGATATGGAAGCGGTTTCGTGGGCCACACATTGCCGTTATCGTTTGCGTTATGGTTTTATGTTTGGCGTCTTGGATTATTCGGAGGAGGCGAAGGATGACCTTGAGCACATTCCCTATCGGTGGCTCTTTGGGTGGAATGGTGACTCTTTCTTGGGCTTCGCGAGGAAAACCCGGCGGTGGTTTCTTGGGATCCCTACTGAACTCCGAGCTTCTACCCCGAGGCTCCAGCAGAAATTGAAACTTGAGTTCCGTGCCGTTCAAGTTTCTGAACCCGTTCGTACTACAATGTTGTGACGTGTCCGTAAGTTTTACCCTGCCGCCAGCCCTCGCCATATTGACAGCATGTGCAAGTCGAGTAAGTCAGTGTGCGAGGTTACCTCGATGTACGTGGGGCTCGCGCCCCTGCGAATGACGATTGGCTCTTTTTGTACTTCGGAGCGTTGTCACTTTCAACCTATGGGATGTTTGTGTGGATGGACCTCGGAGACAATGAGTGACCTTGATTCCATTTACCATTATTGGCGATGCCCTCATCTAGAAACTATTGTCCGACGATGGCTACAGGATGAGGTATGCGCACGTTCCGATCAAGTGAGATGTATTTGGCTCCCTTCCTGCCTGATGTTGTTTTCTGACTCTCCCTCGGTCCGTTTCAAGCGCGCTGCTTGCAACGATGCCTTTCTTGCTGCTTTAAATTCAGGAGGGGAAAGAACACACAGACACAACTAATCGGCGATTCCCAGAACATATGGGAAAATATGGGAAGTGGGGGGGAAGACAAAAACCCAGAACATATAGGAAAATATAGGGGGATATTTTTATTTGTGTGTATTTATTTGTGTGTCCCAATTCCCCTTCACAAATGCCCGTCGCCTCTCACGCCAGGCTACGCCATGCCAAGTCTCCGCAGCGCGGACCAGAGCCGCGGGCGACGCCGCCCGAGACCCGCTGCGCTCTGGGGCCAGAGTGTCCTGCTCTCCCGAAGGCTGACTCGGGCTCGGCCCCCTCCCCTGGAGGCGCTGTCTGACCGCGCCCCTGTCGGGGGAGCGTAAGACCCGGGTTTGCCAGGACTCGGGTTCGCCATCGTTTTTTGACGACCGCGACTCGGATTTTGACGAGTAGGAGTTTCGTTGGATGTCTGCAGCGGGAGGCCTCGTCAAAATGCAGGCTCGGCCTCGTCATTTTTTTGACGACCTCGTCGGGGATTTCCGAGTCCCCCGTAACCGGGTCTTACGACTCCCCGACCCTGGCATGCCTCGTGGCAGATGGGTGCTTCCGACCGCAGGGGGGCCGAGCCCGAGCCACCTTTGGACCTCGCACTGCTCGCCCATCGGGGCGACCGCCCTCCCATCCAACATGACAAGGTCATCGTGAATCGACGTAAAAAATGCAGCGCCAGGATCTCGGGGACCCGCGCGGAGTGGGAGCTGTTCAGGGCCTCTTGGGCCCCAGGTGCCACCTGACGGGCCGCGCCTCTCTGCCCCAGGCTCCGCGCGGGAGTGGGCGCGGCGCGCCCCGGGTGCCTCCCCGCACCCGCCCCGCGCGAGCAGCAGTTGCTTTGTCGCCGTCGTCGCCGGTCGCGCCGCTCCCTCGGTCAGAGAAGGAAGAGGCACCCATACTGCGACCCCTGCCTCGTTTTCCTCGTTTTGGCCCTCCCGGGAGGCCCCCGTCGCCACCGCTGGATGCGCCTTGAAACCTTGGTCAGCACGCGAGGTCCAGGGAGTAGCGGTGTACGGGTACTTTTTGGTTTCCCCAGTCGGGGGCCTTGAGACGGGGGTCAATACAAATGGGGGTCAGCGAGAGCGCCGGGTCCTGCAGTATCTTGCAGAGCCAGGGTCTAGCGCGCAGGATCCTGGAGGATCTTGCAGGATCTTACAAAGCTTGACTGAAGCGGGCTTGCACTGACCCGGGTCAGTGTGTCCCCGATTTCAGTTCGGGGAAACGTAAGACTCGAGTAAGCCAGAGCTCGGGTTTGCCGACGTTCTTTGACGAGCGTGTCCTGCCCGAGTCCCCCGTACCCGAGTCTTGCGTCCCCCAGATTTCAACGTTACAGAGTGTTTGCTTCGACGAGTCCAGCGAGTCTCAGGTGGAGCTTTCGGAGAAGCCAGGCCCGCGGCGGGGGGTCGCCAGGTCAGCACCCGCCACGTCCTGTTCGTGTTCTCGGGCGCCTTCAGTCAGCTCGACAAGAGCCTGCAGGAGGGCACGGCAGAAGGAGGAGGAGGAGGAGGAGCAGGAGGAGTGGAGAGAGCGGAAGAGGAGAAGAAGAGGAGGGACGAGCGAGGGGACGGGTTGGAGGAGGATGCAGCGGGAGGAGACGGCGAGTGGAAGAGAGGAGGGCATGAGGGGAGGGGTAAGAGCAAAGGAGGGGACGAGACGCGTGGGGAAGGCGGGGGGAGAGGGGCGGGGGAGGGAGCCCCGCTCAGTGCGCAATCAGGGAGGTGCCCAGTGAATACGCAAAGGAGGAATCGGTCGCGTGCACAGGGGCGTTGGGGAAGCTCCCCTGCTGCTCAGAAGGCGCGGGCCTTGCCTACAAATATAAGGCAATCCCTCTAGCCACAGCGGGCTGAAGACGGGGACGGGGAGGCGAAGAGGCGATCGAGACGAGGAGACGAAGACGAAGACTAATACGAGAAGATGCACATAGAGACGAGAAGTGGACGAAGCCTGGGGCAGCATCAGCATGCGGGGGCATCTAGCAACATCAGCAACATCAACACGGGGGGCATCTAGGGCAACATCACCATGGGAGGCAGCTTCGGCATGGGGGCAGCACTAGCAAGACGGTCACCATAAGGACGTTGATCTTTATCATCCCATTTGTGGCTTAATTGGTGTGATATTCCTGTTCCATTTCCTCACCTGTCTTCTGCCTCCCAGGGATGGTTCTAGGGGTTAGGAGGGGCTAGAAAGGGATCATGATGGGGCTGTGAGGGGCTAGAAAGGGGCATCCCAGGAGGTTGCGATGGGGCAACGAAGAGTTAGGGCGCTGAAAAATCAAAGCAAACATCAGTAATGCGTATGATCGTACGTAAGGGTCCTATTATCTTAAATCAGACATGTCAGAAAAATAAGAAGCTACTTACCAGATCTTAAATTAAGATCCTGCCGGCCTCTGTGGCGGCAAGACCATGCCCGGGGCCCCAGCGTGGCGGCTGCAGGCAGCCACCCAGCGCCATGGCGGCGCGCCGCGGAGGGAGGGAGAGCGAGCGGGGAGGCAGAAGCGAACAGGGAGGAGGACGCCGCGCCTGCAGCACACCTACAGGTGGGGCGACGGCGCCGGGCGGTTGCGGCGGCGTCGGGTTGCACCGTTCGCTGCGCTGAGAGACTGCGTGGGAGGGGCAGCGCGCTGCCCTCCAGAGTGAGTGGCTCGCGAGGGGCTCCCACTGCCCGGGTGGACAGGGTGAGCCGGCCCGCGAGCGGGGCGTCCAGGGGGCTGGCAGCCGGCGGCGTCGCGCAGTGGAGCCGGCTGGACGGCTGGGGCAGTGCCCGGAGAGCGAGGGAGAAGGGGGCACCTATCCGGTGCGCGGCGATGTGAAAGGGGGAGGCGGGGTCCCGGGTCCGGGTGGACAGGGCGGGCCGAGCGAGGGGCAGGGGCGGCCACCATTGTCTGGGTAGGCAGCAGCGGGCGCGCCTCGGCCAGCCAAAGCTGTGGCCGGAGCCAGCGCCCCCAGCCCAGGCAGGCACGGACGGGGGGGGGCGGGCACAGGGAGGGGCCTGTGGAAACACACAGGAAGCGGTGGAAGTAAAGAGAGAAGGCTTCGGCCAGTCGTGATTTGCATCCTTGGGCCCGTTGAGGTCTCACCTCCCCTCCCTCCCTCCCTCCCTCTGTTCCCTGCGCGCCGTGCAGCGCAAGTGCTCCAAGTGCCCCCCATAGGAGAAGCATCGGCAGGAGAACTCCGGCTTCGGCTTCGCCCGCGAGGCGGGCCGGGGCGGGTGTGTTGGGGGGGGGGCGCTCCGCCCCGGCGCCCGCGGCCCAGCCACCCGACGATGTGATGGTTGTTCCGTGCGCAGCCCAAGGGAATTCCTAGGAGAACGAACAGTGACATGAACATACCAAACTCGGAGATCCGCGCGGATTTCTCGCATCCGCGCTGGACCCCTCTGCCGGCGCGGCGCGCTCCGCGCGCCAGGGAGGGGAGGTCCAGCGCGGATTCGGGAACTCCGCGCGGGCCTCCGAGTTTTTATGGTCCTGCCATGTTTCGTCCCCCTACACCTTAGGCGATGCTTAAGAAAACTTACGTTTTCGGCCAGAGTCTCGATTATTCTTAATGTTTCAATGTAAATCCTATGAGTTTGATAGAAGTTTTGGTTTTTTTTTTTTTTTTTTTTTTTTTTTCAAATTCTGAGACTATGAATTTCTTAACCCATGATTTCGTAAGCATTTCGCAGGGTGTACAGGCGGCCCGGATTAGTAGGTCGACCCTGCTAGACCAATGGAACCCTCGTGTCCTGTGTCTTGCGACCCATGCCTCCCGCATTTCTGTGGCAGCGTGGCCCCCGGAAGGGTCTCGCGTCCTCTCGCGTGTCCTGTCCAATCTAGTCCGACTACAGTTCAGGATAGCCAGCCACGAGCTCCCGGCCGCAGTGCTTGCCTTGCCACGCCAGGCCCGGCCGCGGTGCGTTCCCGGCCAGCAGCCAGGAGGGCGCACGGTCGGGCCGCGAGGCATGGGTCGAGGTCGGCTCGGGGAGGGCGCCCTCATGTTCTTCGCGTTTGGCGGGTGCTCTCGTGCATCACTAACTCAAAACAGACGCCCAATCCCAAAAACGCGAGGGCCAAAACAGAACGCAGGCTCCTCGAGACTTCGGGAAGGGAGGTTTTGGGGCCTAGGGTTCTACCAGGGTGACAACGACGAGCGCAAAACATATCCCGAAATCTTTGGCCGATCTTCGCATCCTCGGTGAATCCGCGATTTTGGGGTTGGGGATGTTTTTTCTTGTCAGTGCATCCTGGGGAGGGCCTCGTGTTCTTGAGTCAAGGGGGGACAAACCACCCAGACCGGACAACTGGCCTTTTCTAAACGGCCCTGGGCGTTTAAATAAACCGGCCCTGCCCTGTCTGATTCCTTCTTTGGGCGCGTCTGCTAAATGGCTTCGCTTGTCGGGGTGCTTCTCGTCGGGGTGGACTTTCTGCCCTCTGTTGAGGGATGTTCTCTTCTGGCCCGGGTCCAACTGCACGGCAGAGTCGCGCCGCGCGGACGCGGCGGCGGCCCCGCCGCGGCCGTCCAGGGTTTTTGAACGCCGCCGGTGGCCCAGCATCGGGCGACGTGGAGCGACCTGGCGGTCGAGAAGCCGACGGGGTCGTGCACGGTTTAAGTCGGGCCCGTCCCTCTACAGGGGGAATATTCAATAATAGTCAAAAAGTAGTCTGGGGACTATTTTTGTAGCATTGTTTAGATTATGTTTGGGTATTTTTAATGTTTCGTCGAAAATCCCCCTGTAGGGGGACACGCCCGACTTAACGCAAGGGTGAACGATCCATCCGGTGTCAGGAACCAGCGCCAGGGACGTCGTCACGACACGAGCCCGCATCAACTGCAGCGAGAGCGCGCTGGAGCGAGGGCCCCTCCTGGGTTGTTGTTGGAAGAGGGCGTGAAGCTGCGTGCGTCCTTGCTCGGGTGTTCCGTTCCCTTGTATCCGACGTCACGTAGGAGGCACCATCGTACGACAACTCGACCGTAGTCATGGACCCCATCTTTTTGTATGATTTGTCGAGCCAGATCGATCCGTAAGGGCACCGGGGCTAATAATGAAAACAAGGCAGATTCGGCTTTTGTGGAAAATGCGACGCCAGGATCTCAGAGCTGGCACTCCTGGTATGTCGAAGCCCTGCTGGGGCCAAAAGAAGGGCTTCGCTGGCGCAAGCCAGGCTCCGACGATAAAAGCGACGACGACGGTGACGGCGATGACGATGACGTCAAAGATGGTGACGTCGAAGACGATAACAACGAACGATGACGACGACGAGGACGATGCCGACGCCACCGACGACGACGACGACTATGAGGAGGACGACGACGACGATGACAAGCGACGAGCGACGAGCGACGACGACGACGACGAACACGACCACGACGACGACGGCGACGAAAACGACGACGAGCGACGAGCGACGAGCGATGACGACGACGAGCGACGTCACGTCGTCGGACATCTGCGACGTCACGTCGTCGCGACGTCGACGTCACGACGTTGGCGACGACGACGACGACGACGACGACGACGACGACGACGACGACGACGACGACGACGACGACGACGACGACTCGACGACGACGACGAAAGCGACGCCGACGAAAACGCTCCCGGCGCCGCCCCCCCGCGCTGGCCGAAGGGCCCGTCCCCGCACAGGCCGGCAGCGCGGACGCCCAGTGCGCGGAGGGCACGTCGTTCCTGCACAAGGCGGGCACCGAGGAGCTCGTGAAGGCCTCCTCCGCCTCCGCCTCCTTCTCCTACGCCTCCGCCTCCTCCTCCTCCTCCTTCGCCTCCTCCTCCTCCTCCGTTTGCTCCTCCTCCTCCTCCTCCTCCTCCTCCTCGCGCCTTCTCCTCCGCTTCCTGCGCCTTCTCCTCTCCTCCTCTCCTCCCTTCCTCCTCTCCTCCTCCGCCTCCTCTCTCGTCCTCCTCCTCCTCCTCCTCCTCCTCCTCCTCCTCCTCCTCTCTTGAAGCTCTACTTCTCGCTAGGTCCACATTTCGTCGGATCTGGTCAACTTTTGAACGAAATCTGGACGAGAGGGTGAACAGGGGTGGTCGAAGTCTGAAAGAAATCTGGTCAGGATCACGTGTATGATAGGGTCGCGGAGGTCCACAGGGGCCTCAATGAAGGCTCACCCAGCCGCAGAGTGAAGGACATGTTACATTGGAAAGAGCGCTTTCTATGGTCGATTGTAGGGTCCCCCCCGGGTTCGAAGTTCCGGGGGGGGTGGGGAGGGAAATGTCCCCCCCCCGGGTTCGAACCTGGGCGGCGAGGGGGGAGCGACGATTGCGTCGTGCTCGGCGCCGTCGTCGAAGCCGCTGGAGTCGGCGGCGGCGGCGGCGTCGGCGTCGTGCTCGGCGTCGTTGTCGGTGTCGGCCTCGGCGTCGTCGTCGTCGTTAATGATCGAGGTCGTCGTTGTCGTCGACGTCGGCCTCGGCGTCGGTGTCGGCGCCGGCGCTGGCGTCGGCGTCGGCGTCGGTGTCGGTGTCGGCGCCGGGCGTCGTCGTCGTCGTCGTCGTCGTTCGTCGTGCTCGTCGGCGTGGTCGGCGTTGCGTCGGCGTCGTGCTTGGCGTCGTGCTCGTTGTGGTCGGCGTCGGCGTCGGTGTAGGCATCGTTGCCAGCGTCGGCGTCGTCGGCGTCGTGCTCGGCGTCGTGCTGGGCGTCGTCGTCTTCGTCGTCGTCGTCGGCGTGGTCGGCGTCGGCGTCGGCGCTAGCGTCGTGCTCGGTGCCCGCGTCGTCGTCGTCGTCGTCGTCGTCGACTGCGTTGGTGTCGGCGTTGTGGTCGGCGTGGGCGTCGGCGTCGTCGCGGTCGTCGGCGGTGTCGTGTTTGGTGTCGTCGTCGTCGGCGTTGGCGACGGCTTCGTCGGCGTGGTGCTCGGCGTCGTGCCCAGCGTCGTCGGCGTCGGCGTCGGCGTCGGCAGCATCGTTCTCGGCTTCGTGCTCGGTGTCGTGCTCGTCGTCGGCGACGGCCTCGTCGGGGTCTTGCTTGGCGTCGTGCTCAGCGTCGTCGGCGTCTGCGTCGGTATCGATGTCGGCGTCGGCGCGCCAGGCGTCGTCGTTGTCGTCGGCGCGTCCTCGTCGCTGCCGCTGTCGTGTCGTGTCGAGTCGTGTCTTGTCGTGTCGTGTCGGTATCGTCGTCGTCGTCGTCGTCGTCGTCGTCCTCGTAGTCGTCGCCGTCATCGCCAACGTCGTCGCCGTCGGCGGTGTCGGCGTCGTGCTTGGCGTCGTCGACGTCGGCGTCCGCGTCGTGCTCGGCGTCGTGCTCATCGTCGGCGTCGTCGTCGTCGGTATGTGTGCCAGCAGCGGTAGCGTGTTCGGCGTCGTGCTCGGCATTGTGCTCGGCGTCGTCGCCGACGTCGGCGTCGGCGTCTTGCTGGGCGTCGTTGTCGGCGTCGTCGTCGTTGTCGGCGGCGCCGCCGTCGCCGTCGTCGTCGACGTCGGCTTCGGCGTCGGCCTCGGCGTGGGCGTCGTGCCCGGCGTCGTGCTTAGCGTCGTGCTAGGCGTCGTCGTTGGCGTCGGCGTCGGCAGCATCGTGCTTGGCGTCGTGCTTGGCGTGGTGCTCGTCGTTATCTGCGTCGGCGTCGGCGCAGGCACGTCGGCGTAGGCATCGGCATCGTCGTCGTCGTCGTCGTCGTCGTCGGCGGCGCGTCCTCGTCGTCGTTGTCGTCGGCGCGTCTTCAGCGCCGCCGCGCCGCTGTCGTGTCGTCGTCGTCGTTCGTCATCGGCGTCGTCTTCGTCGTCGTCGTCGCTCTACCCCCCCCACCCGTTCCCCCCCTTCGCTCCGGGTTCCGAGGAGGGCCCCCCCCCGGGGGTTCAGGAGGGTGGGAGGCTTTTTTTTGACCAAGCAACTGCCCGTGAGACACGTTCTCTCTTATTTACGCGCCCTTTCTCACATTGGTAGACACTAACATCTGAAGGTCTTTGGTTCTTCAGAGCGGAAATTACCTACCCCGCTTTCGCTTCCAGGCAAAACCAAGTCATACTACGCGCCTCCTCGTCAAGCGGCTTCACCAGTACAGGCCGTAGTTTGGCATCGCTTGGTATCTCTTGGAAGCGAGGGTGGTCAAAAGCGAGGTAGGTTTGTTTTCCCCCTAGTTCTGCTCCTCCCCCTGCTTCTCTCTGCGGGGAACAGACTGCGCCCTTTCTCCTCCCCCCTCCTCCTCCTCCTCCTCCTCCTCCTACCCCTCCTCCGCCTTCTCCTCCTCCTCCTCCTCCTCCTCCTCCTCATCCTCCTCCTCCTCCTCCGCCTTCTCCTCCTCCTCCGTAGCCATTTTAGCTTAAGATGCAAGACTCCCTGGAGAGTCAACTGGATACCGCTAGTCCGCACCCAGCTTTCAGTGCTTCACAGCCCTGCCGGGGAGGCCCCACTGCCTCTCCTGCAGTGCCATGGCGCCGGCGCCCAGGGCAGCCCCCGGTGGAGGAGGTGGGCCAGCGCCGCCCCCGCGTGCGGCGACCGAGCGCGCGCCGTGGCTCTGCAAGTCCTGCCACACCAGGAAGGGCCAGAGGTTCCGCAACAGCGGGGGTGGAGCTTCATCTGCGGCGACTGCAAGTTGTACAAGGGCGTTGCGTTCGGAGAGGCGGTCGTCATCAGCAAGGGGCCCACCACCCGCAGCAGCGGCCCCAGCAAGGGCGAGGCGAAGGGCGACTTCGCTCCCTGGCAGCACCCGCCCATGGAGAAGGACATCCGCGAGATGCAGGCCAAGCACGCCAAGGAGCTCGAGCAGGCCCGCCGCCAGGGTGAGGCTCGCGGGGGAGAGGCCGACGCTGCAGCGGCGGAAGCCTCCCCTCAGGCCACTCCGCAGGACGACATTGCGGAGGTCATCGCCCGCATCAAGAGCCTCGCGGCCCTCGTCCAGGCGGGGGAGCACATGGGCGACGCGGAAAAGGCAAACGCGCAGCGTTGGAAGACCGAGTATGACAGCATCAAGGTGATGCGGCAGGAGAAACTGCCAATCGGCAAGCGCTACGCGGTTTGCAACCGTGACGTCAAGCTTCTCGAGGGGTTCGTGGCCACGGCTGCCCAGGACATCACCACCAAGGCCGACATCGAGCCGCTTGAGGTCCAGCTCGCCCTCCAGCAGGAGCAGCTGGCCAAGCGCGGCAAGGACCTCGTGGCGGCGGGGGCCCTCCTGGTCGACCTCGGCAAGCAGAAGCCCCAGGGGGGCAAGGAGGACGGAAGTCGTCTCAGTGCTGGAGAGCGTCGTCGCGAAGCTCGAGGGCAGCCCCCATACGACGAGGGTGACTGGACGGGGCGGGGGCCGTCGAGATCAGCCAGCTCTTCTCCTCCGGGCCACGGGCCGCCTCCTCCAGAAGATCCTCTCGGAGGCCAAGATGCAGCGGTCCCGCGCCCCGCAGGTGGAGCCGCCCGCCCCGCGTCCTGCGATCGCTCAGGTTCAGGAGGGGAGAAAAGACACAGACACAATTAATCGGCGATTCCCAGAAAATATAGGAAAATATAGGAAGTGGGGGGGAAGACAGAAACCCAGAAAATATGGGAAAATATGGGGGATATTTTTATTTGTGTGTATTTATTTGTGTGTCCTGGGGTCCCTTCACAGGTGCCCGCATCTCGGGTCGGGCGACAAGGGGGGGGTTGGGAAAGGGGGGGGGGGTACGAAGTTTGCTGCATGCAGCTGGTTTCGGCCTCGAGGGGCCCATTCCTCGATACATGGCCGCCTCCGGCGCCGGGAGGCGCCGGGAAAAATCAGCTGCGTGAGCTGATTCTCGAGCCCCCCCTTGGCCATCCCCCCCTTTCGCCCGACCCGAGCATCCACAGTGTGGGAGACGGCGGCATCCAGCCGCGCATTCCCCCAGTCGCTCGGCCAGCTGGTCCCCGACGACGACGGAGAGGCCCGCGTCGCGGCCAAGCGCTTCACGGAGGCGCACACGGCAGCCAACCTCGCCGCGGAGAGGGCCAAGGTGGGCGACCGCATGGACCGGCACGGCAAGGCCAGGGAGGACACCCGCGCAGCAGGCGAGCAGGCCGAGGGCGCAGGGCGCCAGGCGTTCGGGCGCACTCCCGCGGACGCCGGCGCACCTCCTCCTGTTGATGGCCAGTCTGCGCCTGGGAGTGGAGGTTCGCAGCAGTCCCAACTCCAGCCCGGGCATCCAGATCCTCGACGGCAACATCAAGGAGTGGGGGCCGCAAGCGCGGGGTTTTCCCCAGTCGGACCGCGCAAAAGCCCTCGAGTGGATGGCGTCTGTGGATCTCCATCGGTCTGGCGCCCACTCCAGCAGCGTCATTCAGGCCTTCCGCCAGGAGGGCTAGAAGGCGACGTACTCCCCAGGCATCCCCACGGGTAAGGGCGGCGTCACCGGCGGCGAGTTCAAGGCAGTCCGCTCGCAGGACCAGGACGCACGGGACGGCCCAAGAACGCTCCAGGACGCCCAAGTCGGGCGGGGCCAGGACGAGGATACATATGTTCCAGAGGGACGTTCTGTGAGTGCCGCGGCGCCCGAGACATCCCCAGGAGCCGCCGGATCTCAAAAATTCTCGGTCCATCCTCACCCCACGCTGTACAACATAATCCCTAATCCTACGACCATACTGAAGACGTGGCCTCAACTAAGACTCCGTCTTTGCACGCGAGAAAAATAAGTATGGGCGGCCTGGGTTGGTACATCTGTAGAAACGAACCTTTCTCCCCAATGTTTTTGGCCCTCCAACTTAGGTCCCCTCTCAAAGGGTTGGGGGCTTGGGGGAAATCACCCGTCTGGTTACCAAGGTGGCCTCACGGCGGCCCCCACAGGTCCCCCAGGGGGAAAGGCTGGATACAGGGAGCCCCGGGAGCGCCTAGCAGGGTCTGTGAACAGTGGGTCGACCCTGCAACGCGGAGCAGATCTGGCCTCCCCCTTGGCAGTCGCCCCCCTGCCTTCCTTCCCTTTCGCCAGGGCGCCTTCGATCCAATCGATCCGGTTCCCGATTCGGTTCGATCCCGGTGTGCCGACGATGGCGGGCGGCCCCGATGCTTGCGTGGCGCTGTTGTACATATTGGCGCAGCCGATATCCGAGCCCGTCTCGAGTCTGATCCGATGCGGGCCGACCCGATGCACATTTTGAGCCGGTCCGAATATCCGATTCGATGCTGGGTGATCCGGCCTTGCCCCAGCCCCCCTCCCCCTCACCGGACGTTCCTCCCCTCGGACGGCGACCACGACGATGGCGTTCGCTCGGCAGCCCTCCCCTGGCGACGGCGACGGCGGCGACGGCGACGATGGCGTGGGCTCGCTCGTCCGACCTTCCCCAGCGGCAGCGACGACAACGACGGCGGCGAGCGGCGAGCGACGGCGAGGGCGGCCCCGAGGCCGGCCCGAGGCCACGGCGGGCAGCGGCCCTTTTCCGCCGGAGGCCGGCTTGGAGCCCGAGTTCGTGGGCCGCATCCCCGTGCGCGTGGCGCTCGGGACGCTGTCGGAGGACGACCTCTTCGCCATCCTGAAGGCGGGCGACTGGCCGCGGGGGCGCCGCCGAGGGGCCGCCGGGGGGCCGCCGTCGTCGCTGCCGCGCCGTCGGGGAGGAGGGGGGACGGGGGGGGGGGGGAGGAGAAGCGGAGGAGGAGGTGGAGGTGGAGGAGGAGGAGGAGGAGGAGGAGGAGGAGGAGGAGGCGGAGGAAAAGGAGGAGGAGGAGGACGGCGGAGGACGGCGGAGGGCGGCGGAAAAGGAGGAGGAGGAGGAGGAGAAAGAGGAGGAGAAGGAGGAGGAGGAGGAGGACCAGAGTGGAGGAGGACCAGAGTAAGACCCGAGATCCTCCCGTTCCAAGCCACCCTCCTTACACCTCCTTTGTAAGTGTGCGTATTCATTACGCGGTCGACCCCTTGAGAGACGAGCGCCGCGCGGGCGCGCCACGCACGTGGGAGCTGCCCCGTACCATCCGTGCAATCGGCAGAAATGCCGAGGTGTAGCGGCTCACGTTTCGAGTACAGTGAAAGCCTTGAATAAGGAACACTTCTTTTTCAAAAGGGGCTCGGTCGTTCCTTAGGTTTGCATGCGTTCCGCTACCTGGAAAAAAAAAAACAGTTTCCTTAGGTTTGCATGGGCTCTACTTGGAAAAAAGGGGGGTTCGTTCCTTATGTATGGCTCCTTAGGTCAAGAGCCTCACTACAGGTGCCAAGGGATACCCTTTCTTTTGAAAAGGATTTGCTTTCGATGCGTGCGGTTGTGCGCACCTGCCTGACTTGGGTCGTGAGGCGCTGGGGCGTCACAAGCGAGAGGCCCAGTTGAAACGGGCGGATTTCCATCCCCACACTGGAACTTCGAGCATTGATTCTGTAATCTGAATCTTGGTGGTGCTTCACTCGCTAGGCCCCCCAGCAACCCTCGAAAGTGGCGACACTCTCGTTGATCGCAGCCCCCGAGGGATGGCGAGGTCTTATCCGAAGCTGGGTGGTGCCTCACTCCGCTGGACTCTCCAGCAGCTCTCGAAAGTAGCGATAGTTTCGCAGATCGCAGCCCCCCAGGGATGGCGAGGCCTAATCTGAGTCTGGGTGGTGTCTCACTCCGCTGGGACCGCCAGCAAGCCTCGAACGTGGCGACAGCTTCGCAGGTTGCAGCACCCCCAGGGACGGCGAGGTCTAATCTGAGTCTGGGTGGTGTCTCACTCCGCTGACCCCAGCAAGCCTCGAAAGTGGCAACAGTTTCGCAGATCGCAGCCCCCCAGGGACGGCGAGGTCGAACCTGAGACTGGGTGGTGCCTCACTCCGTTGACCCCAGCAAGCCCCGAAAGTGGCGACATGTTCGCAGACCGCAGCCCCCCAGTGCCTCACTCCGTTTAAGAGCCCCCGAAAGTGGCGACCATTTGCCATCGCAACCCTCCCGGCGAATCTGAGTCTGGCTGGTGCCTCACTCCGCGACCCCCAGCATTCGAACGTGGCGACCGCGCAGATCGCAGACAGGAGGCAAGCTGGCACGCGGGAGGTACGAGGCAGCAGGGAAGAGAGAAGAAGGGGGGGGCAGGAGAGAAGGTCCGACCGCAGTGCTCTACTCAAGGCCAACACCCAAAGCAGGAGGCTTCGGAATTATTTCGGGGGTCCACGTAGGTGGGGCCGGAGTGATTACATGGGGTCGGAGGATCGCGCTGCATCACCACTGCATCACTGGCGTGACGCGCCCCATTCCAGCGTCGCCGATGCATCGTCGATGCACTGGCGATCCGATGCGAACCATTGACCCGATTTGCGCCAACACAGCTCGGGGGGGTCCTCCAATGTGGAGAGAGCTTTCGCCATGACGCAAGTGGGTCGCCTGTTGTTTCTACCGTTGGCAGATCTCCGAACCATTGACCCGATTTGCCCAAATAGCGGGGGGGGTCCGCAATGTGGAGAGAGCTTTCGCCATGACCAAGGGGTCGCCTGTTGTTTTGGGGTTGGCAGATCTCCAGGGCCGCCCACGCCCCGGACCGAGGATAGAGGGTCCAGGGAGGAGGAGGAGGAGGAGGAGGAGAAGAAGGAAGAGGAGGAGGAGGAGGAGGAGCAGGAGGAGGAGAAGGCGTGGCAGGAGGAGGAGGAGGAGAAGGAGGAGGAGGAGGAGGACGGGGAGGAGGAGGAGGAGGAGGAGGAGGAGGAGGAAGAGACAATAATCATCATAATACTAACAAGAAGAAGGATGACGAGGATGAGGAGGGGGGGCACGAAGACGAGGAGGAAAACGATGATGAGGAGGAGGAGGCGAAGGAGGAGGTGGAGGGATGGGGGAGGAGGATGAGGAGGAGGAGGAAGAGGAAGATGAGGAGTAAGAGGAAGTGGAGGAGGGAAGGGGGACCAGTTCAACGATGTTGAAAAACACGCTCCCTCCAAGCTCCTTCTTCACAGGTCCCTGCAAGGGTTCACTTCCACTGAGGGAGGTGCCCCATCTGGGGGGGGGGGGGGGGGACAACCGTATGGAAATCCACCAAAACACCATTCTCAGGACTTCAGGGCCGCGAGTCAACCTGACTGTTGCGTGTTGGCGATCCTGAAGAATTGTCCCAGAACGCCGCTTCAGGGACTTCAACACCGCGAATCAACGTAATCGATGCGGCCTGGAAATCCTGAATCGTTGCAGAACGCCGTTTCTGGTACGTTCATGAGCCCTGTTGAAAGTCTTGCAAATACTTAGGACGAATGTTCGCGGCGCTAAGGGGAGAGCTACATTTGAAATCGAGCCGCCCTCAATCCACGAAGATCTTGCAAATGTTTAAGACGAACGTGCGCGGCGCTGAGGAGAAAGACACTACGCATTTTGAAAAGGAATCGCCCTGAATCCGTCAAGCTCTCGCAATTGTTTAAAATGAATATGCGCGGCGCGAAGGCGAGAGCCACAGTTTGAAAAGGAACCGCCCTCAATCCGTGAAACCCTTGCAACGTCTTCGATCGAATGTGCGCGGCGCCAAGGCGAGAACCACATTTTGAAAACGAACTGCCGTGAATTCAGGAATTCATGCAACAATTAACGACGAGTGTGCGCGGCGCTAAGGCGACAGCCACATTTTGGAAGCGACCCGCCCTCCATCGGTGAAACTGTTGCCAGTTTTGAAACGTCAGGCTCATCGATTGCAGGGGGAGTCTCAGGCGAAACGCCCGGCCCGTCCTTCCGACTGGCCTCGGGGTGCGGCAGGGAGGAGTTACTCATCATCAGGAAAAGGAATGGGTGAGGAGGAGGCACCGCTCTGCTCTCGCTGGGCGCTGCGCCCACCTCCCAGCAGAGGCGGGTGATGTACGGCCGCGTTGCCAGCGCCTGGTGGTCGTAGTGTTTGTTATATGTGGAATGTGTGTGTGTGTGTGTGTCGTGTCTCGGCAGTGCCTTAGCGGGAGCAGGAGCAGGAGCAGGAGGAGCAGGGGGAGCTGGAGGAATGCGCGGGAGGAGGTCACGCCTGGCCCACCTCCCTGGCGAGGATGCCAAGGACGGGGCCGCCTCGCAGCTCGTGGACGACTTCCGACGGCGACCCCGGCAGGGCAGGGCAGGGCGGGGGCAGCACCGTCGTTCCGACCAGCCGCAGGGCCGATGATCCTCAGGACGTGCGCTGTAGCACCACGTCCGCGCGCCAGGCCCCCCAGACGGGGCAATGTCAACCCGCAGAGGAAGGACGCGCGAGAAGGATGCAGGGCCCTTGGGCGCCCATGTCGAAGCGTTGCGGGCGGGGCGCGGCCACGGAAAGTGTCCAAAGATGGACCCAGGAGGCAAGGATGCAAGGGTGCCCTTGGGAGGGACGCCTGTCCTCCTCACTCTGCGGGTTGACTGCAGGAGCATGTGAGATCGGAGGGTCGCGTCGCATCGCTGATGCGCCGGCGATTCGGGTCGAGGTGGAGCCGGATTTTCGCCAGGCGGGTGTCGCCGATGCCCCGCCGACGTCGC